GATTTTTAGTCGATGTTTACTGAAAATACATGATATTTTGAAGTCAAAATTGACCAATTAATCTAGTTTGACGTTTTTTTCTTTATACAGTGAATCATGAGCGCCGACGACGACGTTGATAACGTTGATCAACAAGAATTAGACAGTGTTTTATGTACTGAACAAGGTAACATGTTTGAAATATTAAGGAATTTTTATTGAATTATTAACCTAAACTCTAGAGTCCAACAGATCGTTTCAAAGATAACCATAAGCGTTCGATTTCTTTGATATTTATTAAAACAAAGCAAGTGATGTTTGTCGTTTTGTCTCGACTCAAGACATCTTCAAATGAGATGTAATTACTTAGATAGTTAAGGTGTGAGGTTTGTGTGGATGTGTACTTACAGTGTAAAGCTGATATTGAGTATTGTTAGGAAATATAAGAAAGATTGTACAAGATATAGGGGGGGGGGATAAGTAATGCGGGGAAATTTACCAAGAAAAGTGCTGAGGGGATTGTTCATCCCCCCCCCGAACTATTCCAAATACCAATTTTAGAGTTTTTAAGATCTGAAGAGAAAAAAGGGAGTTATAGATAGTTGCTTCCTGTAAAAAGAGCACACAGCAAAGTAAAAGTAATAAACAGAAACTTTTGAGCATCGTAGTAAGTCTATGTAATTACTCTGAGATGTCTTGAGTCAAGACGAAACGTTGCTTGCTTTCTTAAATAAATACTGAAAAAATCAAATGCTGATGGCTTTCTCAAACACGATCTTTTGGGATTTTATCTTTATATTTAGAATTTTATCCACACCTGGCACCTCACTGGCAACATTGAAATTTTATAAATTCTTATTAATTGTTGTGCACTCATATTTACGATGTATTTGACATGTTTGACGTATTTTTTAGTTGCAAGCGATTGTTGAAATTCATATTCCATTGGAATCCTACAGTGGCAGTACGGCCCTACGAACGAACGATTTGTCTCTGAATCGAGACAGTAAACATCAATATGCTGTCCTGTTGAAGTGCTAGAAATACTACAGAGGTAATGGTTACCCCAAAGGATTAAGGAAAATTGAACAAACAACACAGTTGAGAGAACGTTGCTAAATCGATCAGCCTACAAGGTTCGCAAAAACCTTTGGTGGAAATAAGTAGTTTGACTTCCAATGATTTATCTAATGTCAAATTTTCACATGTTTGTAGATTTAGACCGTCCAGGTTAGTAGAGTCATGAGAAAGACTGTTTTTGTTGTTTTTGATTGACGTTTTGACTTCCTTAGCAGCAGTCACCTTTAAAGTCAAGTTGACTTTCTCAGGACTCTACTAACCATGAGGATCTACATCTAAAAACATGTAACGAAACCCCTGGGTTCAAACCATGTGTCTAGAGTGTTTTTTTTTATCACAAGTAATTATAATTCCGTGTAGTTGGAGTTTGAAAATTATTTATAATTTACAATGGTTTATTAAATCACAAAGGTTTTTTATAATATAAAATGACTTATGCAATAATCTATTTGTATGGAATTTTGATTAAAGAAAGTAAAAAAAGAAAAAATTGCATTTTTGAAAATCGTGTCTTAAGCAGTGACATTCAAGTCCTGTCTTAGATAGTTGATCCTTAACTCCCGAGTTAGAACTTGTGAAACTTTATTACATTTAGCACGAGTCCTTTGAAATTTGACTAATCTCAGTGTTATCATGCACTCTGTATGCGGTACTATTTATGTATTTTTATTTCTATGACAAATGTTTTTAGTCAATGATGTATACTTAGTTATATAACTGAGATTTTCTACATAGACACACCATAGAAGAACATACAGTAGAGCCACTTTATTGAAATTTTCGTGCCACACATATCTTATTATGCATGGGATTACCATAGTGGCAGCCAGTCAATTGCTTTTTTGACGAATAGGAATGATGAAATGCCTAACGGCAGCCAGTAATCTAATTAAATATACAGCAGCCAGTTGCACACAAAGTGGACCTACTGTATATTTCCTATACCACGACGTGCGCGAGGACAAAAACATCAAAGGGTTCCGACACAAGTGACTCTTGTGCATATTCTTATTCTGTGTCTATACTGTGACATAGATGTCATCAATGTTTCATAATGCTGTTTGTTGAAGTTGATCCTGACTCATTTTTCTTCTTCGCTGCAACACAGTGTACTTCTAAAATTATACTTTTGATCATGTTTGTTTAACAGTTTTAAGGTTTACTTTTATTGCATTCTTTACTGTTGTATCTACAGTGTTTTTATTGATCATAAGTAATTATAATTGCGTACAGTTGATGTTTGCCACGTATTCATAATTTACAATGGTTTATTTAATAACAAAGGTTTTTTATAATACGAACTAACTTATGCAAAAATGTATATGTATGGAATTTTGGAATAATGAAGGAAAGAATCCATTCACAATTTCGAAAATCGTGTCTTAATCATCGGCATTCAAATCCTGTTTTAGATAGGTGATTCTCTACTCCTGAGTTAAAACTTGTGAAACTTTATAAGATTTAGCATTAGTCCTTTGGAAATTTGACTAATCTCAATGCTATTATGTACTGAGGTTCTTATTTATGTATTTTTATTTCTATAACAATTGTTTTTAGTCAGTGATGTATACTTAGTTATATAACTAGTATGTTCTACATAGACGTCATCAATGTTTTATTATACTGTTTGTTGAAGCAGATCCTGACTCACTCTTCATTTTCGTTCGCTATTGAAATGTGTTTATGTAACAAAACTTACATGGATAAAAGATTGATGTAACAATAAGGTATGAATTATGTTCACAATTTTTTAAGTAATATGTATGTGGTCATGTACTAAATCAATTTATTTCAGTAATTTTCAGTATAATGTGCTATATGTATATGTAGCAAGACACTTAATTTGCAAAGATGAGCATTTATACACATTCATCCTTCACCCATACACATTCATCTTTCCCCATTACAAAATACACAGGTAATTCAAAATCAAACATTTTATATTAAGAATTATACGTTAAAATGATCTAACTGCTAACCAAGCTGCAGGAACATTGCATTAAATGGGTAAACAGAACAACTTACAAAAGGAATGATATCTGAATAATGTTGGATATTCACGATGAATTATATACCAACACTGCGAATAAGTTTATTGACATGGATTGAGGCAATAACTATCACATGACTTTGTTAGCTGTTTACACACGTCTGATAAGAAGTAGGGGCATTTTTATGTGACTTTGCTTTTACCAATAAATATACTAGCTTCATGTTTAGATATTTGACTCATTCATATTATTTTTTTATGCTTACTTTGTACATGCCATGATGACATTTAGAATTGCAACAAAGGAGCGATTAAATAACAATAAAGCTTTCATAGTTGCTCCATCAGAAAAATCAACTCTTTTGCTTCATTATTTTATATACTTCATTTTTTAATACAATAGAAAGCAGTGAAAGGTTTTACTGAGCTACATTTATGTACATTTTGGTAGTATTATATTTATAAATTTGACCTCAGTTTAATGACACGTTTATTTACATTTTTCCGAACCTTTATATTTCATTTGGACAATGCTTTCTCGTGTTAATTTAAGAGTAGATACTTAATCTAAGAATTTATCTTTACTAACTTCAAAAGGTTAGGCAAATTGTAATTCGAACGTAGCGTATTAAATATTTTTTAGCTCACACATATTAACGCAAGCGATCACAAATATCAATTTTATCCCTTCCAGCGACCGGTACTTGCAACTTGTACATAGTAGGATGTACTGTCTGTCTGGTATATAGTCCAGTTTGTGTTGGGATAAAACACGGATAAGGGGATTAAACACGGATCTTCTTAAAATTTTAGCGTTGTTGTTGACAATAAAGATTTCGAGATGTTGTTGTTGAATTATGAAGTAGTTTTCTTTGACGACTTCCTTGTAGAATAAAAATAACGATTTTATCATGCAATGTGCATGACATGGCGCCCAACGTGGAGCGGCTTTAACGAAATAAAGTCGCCCATATTCGTTTCTTACGAAAATGTCGACTAAATAGGAGGAAAAACTGGAAAGGCTTCGTGCTAGAAGAAGAGGACATCGCGGAGTGTGTACAAAACTCGAGAAAGAGTCAGTTGAATTGTTATCACAGCCACGACATGATGACCTTGTAGAACGTAGCGAAATCATCGCACAACAACTCGAAAGGAAACTAAAAATATTAAGTGAACTCGATGAAGAAATATTGAACAGGTATGATGTTAATGAAATACAAGGTGAAATTGAGGACTCGGCCGAAATTTCTGATAGAGTTATGAGTATAAAACGAAAAATCGAAAGGTATATTAAATGCGCTAAGAATGACAGTCTCGTTGATACGAATGTCAACGATACCATATTTAACTCGAATTTGACGAACATGTCAAACCTTGGCCAAAACGAAAGTAGCGAGAACTCTAACGAAAATTTAAGAAATACGACGGAAAACTATGGTTTAATCGAAGGTTCAAGTAATCAAGCGACGATCGAAATTGTAAACGAAGGAAATGTAACGAGTGACAACAGTACGACGACAGTCCAATTTAAGTCGAATATGCCGAAGCTTCCTAAGCTGGAGCTTCCGAAATATGGTGGTAAGGTTACGGAGTGGAGTTCGTTTTGGGATCTATATGATTTTGCGATTCACAGTAATCCAAACATTTCGAAGGTAAACAAATTCAACTATCTGAAATCGCTTCTTGAGGGAAACGCAGCGAGGGCCATTAAATGTCTAACATTAACTAATGCCAATTACGACTCTGCTGTAAAGATCTTGAACGATCACTTCGGGAAAACCCAGCAAACCATAGCAGCTCACATAGATGAAATTTGAAAGATTCAAGCTTTTGCCAATGGTAGAACTAGCCAAGTAAGATACGTATACGTTAAAGTAAGCGTTCATGTACGAGGATTATCGAGTCTTGGCGCTTCTTCTGAACAATATGGTAGTATGCTTATCCCGATTATTATGACTAAATTACCTAGTGACATTCGTCTACAAATTGCCCGAAAATCGTCGGGAGACGTTTGGAAAATTGATGAGTTGTTGGATACAATAAAAACTGAGATCGAGGCTCGGGAGTTAAGTGAAGGAGTGCAATCAAGTCCACAGCCACAGCATGGAAAAAGTTCAGGAGGTCAGCACGAAACACCCAGAATACCTACGGTGAACGCCTTTTCGACTCAAAATACTTCAGGTAAACATATTCATTGTGTTTATTGTAAAGAGCCACACTTTTCGTCATCGTGTGATAGAGTAACTGATTTGAATGATTGCAAGAGTATATTGAGGAGAGACAGCCATTGTTTTGTATGCCTGCAAATCGGGCATCTCAGAAAAAATTGCGAGTCAAAGAAGAACTGCAGGCGTTGCCATGGGGCTCATCATCAATCGATTTGTGAAGTGATTAAGTCAAGTTTTACGCCTCCTCAACAAAAGAATGCAAATGATCCCAAACTTTCCCCCACTGGAAACAACCTACCAGAAACCAAGGAAGGAAACAACGTTCGCACAGCTACCATGATTGATGGAGATAATTACTTAACGACGAATACGGCAAAAACGCGTAATCAACTTCTTCTGCAAACCTGTTCGCGTGCTTTTGGACAGCGGTAGTCAGCGCACTTATGTTACGAATTCATTAAAAAAACAGCTTGGACTAGTTCCCATCAGAAAAGAATTTGTTAACTTAAATACCTTTGGCAACCAACATTTTACAAAGGAAAAATGCGACTTGGTTCATTTGTCCCTGAAAGGAAAAAATGGAAATGGAATCATAACAGCTCTTTGCTTCCCAAATATTTGCTCTTCATTAACAACGACAATTGATCTCAATCATTATCCTCATCTGATGGATTTGCAGCTTTCCGATATCAATACCTCTCTGGGCGACAGACGGACAACAACATTGACATTCTAATTGGAGCAGATTATTATTTTGATATCATGACAGGCGAGATTATAAGAAGTAAAGGTGGTCCTGTTGCGATTAATAGTGAATTTGGCTGGATTATCACTGGACAGACGAATGATGGTGAAACTAGTTCGAAATTGTCAAGCGTTAATTTAATCATCGAAGATTACTATTTTTCAAAGGAAGTTCCGTTTGACAAGAGAGAACCCAAATTACATGAATGTTTGAAACGGTTTTGGAAGATCGAATCAATGGGAATCAAAGAATCCAGTGAATCACAGGATCAGGAGTTTTTGAAGAATATACAATATCTGGAGGATGAAGGGAGATATGAAGTGAATTTACCTTGGAAGCGGGAATATATTCCAAAATCAGACTGTTACGGTAGGTGTTTGAAACGATTACACCTTCTAAAATCTCGTCTCGATAAAGATAAACCCTTATTGCAATTATACGATACAATTATCAAAGATCAAGTGAAAGGAGGAATTATTGACCCAGTTCTTGTTGCACATGAAACCGGCTATTTCCTACCCCATCATGGTATACTTTGAGAAGATAATGAAACTACAAAACTTCGCGTGGTTTTCGATGGTTCAGCAAGAGCTACTAAGGAAGAGCAGTCACTCAATGATTGTCTCGAAAAGGGACCAAATTTGGTTCATCGTTTAATTGACACTATGATAAACTTTCAAGGCTTCCCCATTGGGCTTGTTGCCGATATCGAAAAGGCTTTTCATCAAATGCAAATTGCTCCCGAAGACAGAAAGATGCTGAAGTTTCTTTGGTTTGACGATATTAACAAAGTTCACCGATGCTAAAGAAATACAAGTTCCGACGCCTACCATTTGGTCTAACCACAAGTCCTGCAATATTATCTACTGTTAGTCTTCACCACGTTTCGAAATACAAGAATGTCGATCCAGAAATAGTCTCCTTATTCGTTATCTCCTCGAGTCGTTATATGTTGACGATTTCGCTGGTGGAGCTTCTAATGAGGACGAAGCTCTATACATCTATCATAGATCTTGAAAATTAATGAGCGAGGGAGGATTCAAGATTCGAAAATGGCATTCAAACTCGCAATATGTCCGAAATTTTATCGCGAATGATGAAGATCGACCGTTTGTTGACGTGGAAAATAAAAAGGGGTCATCATATGTTAAGCATCAAGGAAAGGCAAGGCGATGAGCAAGGCCCTTGAGGCGATTTATATGCGTTTCAAAAAGCTTCAGCTAAATGCTGGACCAAAGGCTTCTAAAGAACTTGCTATTTTTTTTAATTTCGTTGATGTAATTCTAGACAGTAACACCTCCTTTCATCGCCTTTATTTCTTTTCATTGCTTACGTCATTTCTTTGTAACAAATATTTAAGATCACGCATGCTTGTAAACAATCACTTAGCTTGATAATGACTTTGAACTAAAGTCAAATATTGCTTTGAATCTTGTCTCTTGGTTTTATAACTCGAATCTTGAGTTTACCAGATGATGTTTTTTGGAGTGTGTTTTTCCTTTATTTTTTGAAATTGTTGGTTGGAAAAGGATTTATACAATACATTTGTACAAAGGAAGTCGGAAATTTGCATCTCGGAAGTGTCAAAAATTTTGAAGACAGGAAGTTGGAAATCGGAAATTTTATATCTTGGCATCAAGTCCCGTAGAAATTGGTTTGACGATATGACGTCAAATAATTTCCATCAGCGCACACGCTGCTAAGCCTCAAAAAAGCTCAAATGAAGCACTTGAAGATGCGGTTTTGTTCAAAATGAAGCACCTGATTTCATATTCTCAAAATATGTTTTGTAACCCTTGCATACAAATACAACTTTCAACACCAACATTCTGTGAGGATGTAGTTCTCCTTTACAGTTTCAAATCCCTACTACACACATTGAAAAAAGAATGTTTGATACTATAATTAGTATTTCTCAATCACTATTTATTATTCTAAATATATGTCTTTGATGTAATTGTAAGTCATTCAAAATCTGTCATTAAATTGTAAGCTGTTTTCTTAGCTACCGGTGATGACATGGCGTTCTTCTTCAAGTCAGAAAATGAAGTAGACATTTTTATGTTGGGGAAATTGATTGTTGATCATGGTGGTGAAGCTTTGAGAATAACTTTGAGAAAACAAATGTCAGGTACTGAATTATTCTTTTTCTTGAATACCACTAAAAATAGAAATAAGCTTTTGAGAATAAAGAAGAAAATAATCAGGCACGATGCATGGATTCTTTTGTATCCAGATCCTCCAAGACTACCTGATGAAAATGATTTTGACATTACTCTACTTTGTGTCCTTTTGCGCACTATTTGCAATTTAAAACAACCGAATAATCCTATCTGGACAAACAAACCTAATGCCACTGATCATTCAACCGAAGCCGATATTACCCGTATCAGGTTATATCGTAATGAGTGTTATGCTCACATACCTAACACATCATTTAGCTTAGGTGACTTTGAGACTTTGTGGAAGGAAATTTGCCAACCAATAGTTCGTTTAGGAATAAGTCAGCAAAAAATAGATCAATTAAACCAGGAAAGAACTCAGTCGATCAAACGTATAATTCGTGGGTCTGTGCGAAAGGGAAGCGCCGGTTTTGTATTTGGTACCGATATTTTGACCAAAAACCTTGTAAGTTGTACTTTTGAGAGTGACATTAGTAATCAATATAAAACATTTTTACATGGAACACGGGAATGGGTTTTTGATGAGTTTTTGGCTTGGTTTGAAGACAATACTTCTCAAAATCGTGCATTTGTTATTTCTGCTGTTGCTGGAATGGGTAAGTCTGCAATTGCAGCAACTTTATGTAAACGTTATCCAAGCTATTTCGCCGCAGTTCATTTCTTTCAACACAATGACAGTCGTTTCAATGACGGTAATGTACTTCTTCAATCTTTAGCTAGGCAAATTGCTCGTAATTTTCCTGCTTACAAAATACTTTTAGAGGATAAACTTGATAGAAATCTCTCAGAACCTCTGCGTGACATGAATGTTGAAAGACTATTTTCCTTTCTTTTTACTGAGTTGTTTGAAAAAATCACGGAATTTCCTAAGCGGACTTTAATTTTGCTGGATGCGCTAGATGAATGTGGTTATCCAGAAAGCCTTCTCCTGGCTGATTTGCTAGATAATCATTTGTTCAATCTTCCACCTTGTTTCTACTTTGTAATCACAACAAGACCTAGCAAAGATTGTCATATCATAATTGAAAAATTAAATCCGCTCTTCATCAATTTGAGTGATGATGATAACTTGAATGATGTAAAATTACTAATTGAAGAAAGAATTGGCCCCACTAACATAGCTTCACAACTTAAGGAAAATTTGCTAGAAAAGTCTGACGGACATATGTTGCTTGCATCTCTTCTCTCCAATAAAATTAAAAATCAGTATTCGTTCAATGGATCCATACCAAAGGATCTCAATGAATATTACGAAATTTCCTTAAAAAGAATAAGTGACGAATTAGATTCATCTCAAATCAGTAAAGAAAACTTTCAGTCACTTTTAAATGCATTAGCAGTTGCTAAAGAACCCCTTCCTTGGGAATTAGTTGAGGACATACTTGATTTCAATGGCCTTTCATCTGTGGTTAGAGAAATTACGTTGTGCCTTTTTGCTACCAATGAAGAAGGACATGTGTCGTTTTTCCACAAATCTTTATCTGATTGGCTGGCTAGCGACTGTAAACATAGTTACTCAGTTAATACTACTGATGGTAATCGAGCTGTTTTAGCGTTTTGTTCAAGAACTTTAGACAATCTCAAAGCTGTCGACGTGGACTACAATAACTTTGTTAAGCGGGCGTCAGTAATGTATTCAGTCAAATATTGGATTCTTCATATGCTTGCTATTTGTGATAATGATCATATCGTTAAATATGTTGGTAAATATCTTGTTGACTTAGATGTTTTACTTGCCTCTGTATCGATTGATAGACATCGTACTTTGGAAAACTTTCGTCTTATAAGCTCTCACAACATATACTTTCATCTTTCTGAGGGCACTCGATTGTTATTTAATGACATTTATTGTGTTATTACGAGGAGTTTCATGAATTCCATAGTTTTTTTGCAGTACGTTGTCAACGAAATCAAAGATCTTGCTCCAAAAGCTTCCACAATGCTTCAAACACGTTTCAGAGAGTCTTCTTATGTTGAGCGTCTTGATACGGATATTGTATTAACTCCATTTTTACGTTTAGCGCGAAACTTGATTTCAGTAAATGTATCGCGAAATTATGACTATGTCGTCTGTGGTTATGAAGGGTTCATAGTGCAACTTTTTTCTCTGACAGCAAACAGGTGTTTATGGATAAAAGATATATCTGATCAGTTAAGTCTAAGTGAATTGAAAGGATTTTGCGTTGTCTTCCATCCTTTCAACGATTTGATTTTCGTTTCCCAATTGGATAAGGTTCTAAATGTTCACAGGAAAGTTGTCTCTAGTCCTTTTCATTGTGATGATTCAACTTCTAAGTTCTTTACCAACTATTGTTTTTCCAAGGATAAGTGCACAATGGTCACTAGTTACAAAGATATTTTGACAGTATGGGACGTTGAGAAAGGTGAGAAGATGCACAGTGTTATATGCAGCAATGTGACATCCCTGTGTTTTTCCAATTCAAAAAAATATTTGGGTGTTATTGATGAAAAAAACGTATTTCACACATTTGACGTAACGAAGAATTATAAGTTATTTGATTCTTTACCTTTTGAAAATAATGTTGAGCGCTTTTGCTTTTATAATGGAAAGCTTCGTATTCTTTCCACTGTTGGTCTTCATTCTTGGTCTTGTACGATGTCTGGTAATGAAAAACTTTTCGTTGTCTATCCTAGTCAAGAGGCACTTCCTGAGTTAGATCTTAAGCGTAAATATGGTTTGTTTTCGCTTGATCCCTTTGATGATAACATGTTAGGCGTTTCTTTGATTAATTTCAAAGGATATTATTATTATTCATTGAATGATAACAATATACTTTTACTTAATTATGGAAATGCTTCTCATCTTGTTATAATGGCGCGCGAAATTTTTAAAAAATCTTTGGTTCTTGATAATCAGATAGTTTGCTCAAATGGCAACTTTCTGTATCGGAGAGATGAAAAAAACTCATGCATCATAGTCAACAATCTCAACACAGGAGACTTTGTTAACAAGGAACGTTTTGTTAATGGTATGGTTGCCGTAAAAAATGGAGTCATTTTGCTTACGGCAAAAGCTATTCCTGAGCTTTGGAATAATGATTTGACAAAACTTCTTTATAGTTTCGATGAACTAAAAGGTACAAATAAAATTTTTGAGGTGAGTGATGTATCATTTGCTTGTCAAAAAACTAATTCTCTTGTGTTTGTCAACATTGAAAACAAACAAAAAGAAATATCAGTGAATTTCGAAAATCATCGAAATGTGCACATATTTGCATGTAGTTCTAAGTATCACGTGTTTGCGAAAACGTTATTTGAATACAAAGAGCTTACTATTTGTGGCACAAAGATAAACCAGTTGATGGTTGGAGTCCTGGAAATTGGCTAATACATAGAACTCACTGTTTTGATCATGCCGATTTTTCACCATCAGCTGATAAATTATTAACAAGTAATGAGTTTATGTTTATGGAAGTCTTTGACATTGAAACCATGCAAGTTATTTATACTTTGAATGAGCGCAGTTTGTCAGGTAAGTTTGTCTTTATTGATGATAGATTTATAATTTGTAGTAGCTTAACACTCATTGATTTGAAGTGTGGTAAGAAAATAGAATTAGATTACCCGTTTGTCAATAAGCATCGGATAGAACGTTCGAAAACTTTATATTTTTGTCGTAAAAGCCAACTTGCCTTTACCTTATTTACTGACTTACAAATCCCAATAAATTGCGCGAAAATCATCTTGCCCCGAGAATAAATTTCATCGTCATTTCAACTACATTAGCTGAAAGTACATCTCATTTATTTGGTGATCATATTTTGGGTATTATGATTTTATTGTGCAACAACTTAAATTTTACATCATTTTTTGTTCGTTATAGGTAAGAAGTCAATCATTAACAAAATTTAAAATAATCGAAAATATAATTCACAATTGCAATGAGTTGACACTATCATCAAAATAAGGTATCTGTTAAAACAATCACATAATTAAAAAAGTTGTTTTATGAAATTCTTTCTCTGGATAGACGTATAATTCCAAAGTTAAGTCGGTTTAATTGTTTTTCTGTTCGCTGAATGTTGCAAATTTCAGAATGTTTTGCTCTCAAGTCAATAATATAGAATTGAAAACAATTTTTTTCTAAACTTATACCGAGCAAAACAGTTCTTAAAAAAAACTTTTAAATACTAGAAATTCGAAAGAAAGTTTTACGCATAATTACTTTGTGAATGTTTTAGTGCAAGATGGTTCAATTTTGCATATTGCACGTTTTTAGTTATTTGCGTTAAAAACAAATTGTTAACCAACACTATCTTACAATAAAATAATTTTAATACTTTAATATCTGAAAAGTTATGGTAATAAATGCTTTTGATGGTAAAATATCTAAATATCAATAAAGATATTATAGCTAACAGAGACGAAGCTAGCCCAAACTTTTGTTGTACAAATATTTTTTGTGATCATTTATGAATGTCGTTAATTCATTAACAAAATGAATAGTAGCTTTGCCAGGTTTTTTTTGGAAGAACTACAAATTTGGAATAGCTTTGCCACTGAGTGTGAAAAAATAAATTTGCATTGTTGAGAAGAAATTGACTTCATAATCTCCCTTGACCATCATGATAAACAATGGAACCATTTCGGCTGAGCGCTCCGAACTTTCTTTTAATGTACCTTGCACAAGAAAATAATTTTATTGACTTTTATCTTATCACACAAACATATAAAATGCAAACTATTGTTAGTTATTGTACCATTGGCTATATTTTGTTTATATATACACCATGTAAACATACAATTTTCGTAAAAATGTATTCAGAGTTGGATGGTTTTAATATTGCACGTTTTTCGATACTCTTTTACACCAAAAACAAGTTGTTACTAATTAAATCAATACTATCTTGCCCTGAAATAATTTCTTAATACTTTTAATTATTGCATTTTGATTTACAAAATATTTATGTTTTAAGTTGTTAAGAGAGACAAAGACAGCCCAATTTTTATTTCGGTTATATGAATATTTTCATCTTTATCAATTTGAAAAACGTAAATTTATAATAAAACAATGGTACCTTTGCTAATTTTTCAAGAAAAACTAAAAATTTGGCTGTCTTTCTCACTTACTATTTAAAAGTAATTCGTAAACTTCACAAGAAAATGACTTATGATTGACGTTCATCATCGTGATAAACAATTTAACCATTGTGACTAAACACTCCAAACCGTATGAACAGGAAAAGTTAACAAAAGTGAAAGAAAGTTTTGCAATATAGAGAGACAGAAAACAAACTACAAGGTCGCATATAGAAGGATGTTTAATGACAAGTTTTTAACAATTTTAATGACAAATTGATATCAAGCATTGTTAAAGTTTGAACACTTTTATCTTGTGAATCGATATTTTTTGGAAATTAATTTTTAACAACATCTAGTCAAACATCAGTGGACATACTGCAAGTTACTTTGCCAAAGTTTGATATGTTTATGGCTTGTCTATAAAATTCCATCGTCTACTCTTAATTTAAACGATAGTACAAGAAGGAGAAGCTTTATTTCAGGAAGTGACGTAAATAAAGAAGTGACAAATTTATGTACCATGGTTCTGTTTGGATTTATTGTTGTACTTTGT